GCCACCACAAGCAACTTTCCATAACCTGGGTGGGGGATGGGTGTCAGCGGGGGATAGGGATCTGTGGGGGGAGTGGCGGGTGGTGTTTGGATCATGAAATAAATTCATCCTGGAGGGGATGGAGAAGACTTAGGTGCATGGTGAGAAAGAGGGAGATGGCACTAGCCTAGGCCCAGCCCCGGGCCCCGATTCTCCCCTGCCCTGCACCTTGTGCAGTCATTTACAAAAGTGCTGCAGCTCTGACTGGGTTGCGTTTTGCACCATGTTGCACTGGGGTAGGTGATTTCACCAGGTGCACGGCAGTGGTGAATCAGGCCCCTGATCCAGGCCTCTCACGTGGCTGCAAGGAGCTTGGGGGAGCTCTGCTAGCTTCCTTCTCAAAATGCTCCTTGTTGCATGAGCTAGAATCTCAGTCCCATCCCCTGAAACTGTGGGGTGGGAAGAGACCTGCCAGGACACAGAATGGGGGCCAAATTCATGGAGTTTCCTAAGATGGGACCTATGCCCCAGTTTTAGGCTCCGCTGAGATCCACAAAACTCTCACGGAACCCTATAGGAGCCTAAACTCCCTCAGTGCCTAAGTTTTCAGGGTAAAAGTTCCCTTGGCACCTTGGTTTCTGCCTCCGGAAATGTGCACTGCTGCCTCCCTCTAGACCTCCAGGCACCCATCTGCCACCATCAGAGGGAATCCCAAACCAGTGGAAGGCAGGCGTTTGTCAGCCTAAGTCATGCACAGGGCCCGATCTGGTAGGGTGGCCTCTCAGCATGCCAACTGAATCAGGTGCCATTCAAAATCTGGCCAGATGAGGGGATGGGGGTAGTGCCTACCTTCTAATTTTTAGTCCAGTGGTTCGATCGCTCACCTGAGTGGTTCAATTTTTCCCCTGCCACCTAGGTAAGGGGGGGCAGGCTCTGAACGGGGGTCTTCCCCCTCTCAGGCAAGCACTCTAACCACTGAGCTAGGGGATATTCCGATGTGGGGCGCTCTCAGTATCTCCCGTTGAAGCTGTTCCATGGGGGATAAATAATGAAGGGTGATCAGAGCAGGGGGGCTGGACCCCATCACCCGAACCGCTGAGCCACAGAGTCAGTCTCTCTCTCTCTCTCGCCCAACGACCGTTCTACTGTGGATAATGACTGAAACAGTCCTTGAGCCAGAGAGAGGCTGACTCTAGAGCCCAGGCACCTACCTGGGAGGTGGGAGACCCAAGGGCCAAGCCCCCTGCTCCAATCACTCTTTGCTCTGGGCTAAAAGTTATAAGGTGGGTGGCGGCTCCTCCTCCAGCCATTTGCATATGAAGCAAGGGAGGCGCCTAATTCATTCCTGCAAGAAACCACTTAGGTGCTGAAGCCGTCTGGCTCCAGGCAGTGGGTTCCCATTTGTGGATCACCAGCATGGACAAGTGTTCCCTTCAGCCCTGACATAGGCGCCTATCTTTGACCGAGGGGCGGGGCTTAGCATACATCCCCCTGGTCGGGATCTCCCATTGGTGAGCTCAGATGGCCCCCTGCCTAGCATGCAGGCTTTTATGAATGGCATTGTAAGGTGTCTCTCTCCCCAGGTTACTGCACAGGGAGCCTCGGCGCCAAACTTGTGGATCACTGTCCTTTCTGCCATTTTTTTTTCTAGGCGCCTAAAAGTTAGGCCAATGCCGAGTGTTGCAACACCCATGTCCCTTTGTGCCCACCCCAGAACAGAGCAAGATTGTCTTGTGGGGCACTTGAGTTCCTCCTCCAAGCATTCATCTCCCCATCTGCCCCAAGCTAGACCTAAAGACTATTGGGAGGGGCGGGGGGAAGAGAGGCTGGTTCCACGGCCACTCAAGTGAGTGGAGAGGAGCTGAGGGGACCCTTAACTGGGTGGGGGTATTTGTATCATCAGGGTTCAAGGGAACTGCTTGTGCCCCCAAGTGCTGCTCAGAATGGTCCCATGACCACATGGCCAGGCAGTGCTGCAGCACAGATCCACGGAGGCAATGCAGACTGGCCAGCGACCCTTTCCCAGTGGAGTGGGCTCATGTGAGACCAGCCTGCTCCCTCTCTCTCCACCTCTTCCTGTCACTCTATAGGTCTCTGTCTCTCTTCTCAGCCCCAACCAAGATCAGATCCCAAGGCTGCCTGAAGGGGAAATCCAGCCATGAGGTGTCCCAGTGCAGGGGGCAAGAGCGTCAAACCCTCTCCTTCCAGTCCTGCTGCCAGTGGCAGAATGGGCAAAGTGTTGAGTTCAAAGCCCCACTGCGGAGATGGGCCTTAGGGTGTCTCTTGCTGCGCTAGTGCTTGAGGCCAACCCGGATTCTCCAGGGCAGGCAGCCAAGGCTTGGGGCTTCCAGCAGCAGCCCAGCTCCCCCTCACCTCTCGGGGGATGCGCCCATGGTACCACACATGGCTGCGCAGGTCCGTGCTGCTCAGTTTCAGCTCCTCCTCCAGCTCTTTATGAAGCTTCTCCGGTGAAGAGTCAAGGATGTACTTCTCCTTGGAGAACTAGAAAGAGCACAAGTGCACATCAGCCACCACTCTGTTCCTCTGGACATGCCAGGAACCACCCGAGAACAGAACCAGCACCCAAGGAGTTGCCCTTGGCCGGAGGAGAGGGCCCATCCTAGACACACCAGATACCCAAGGAGATAGGAGCCCCACCAGCTGTAGAAGGATCCCCTCCAATACAGAGCTGCCACCGCACAGCAGAGATCCACCAACACTGAGTTACGGATGGCAGCAGTGTAAGGATGGTTTGGATGGCCTGTCACCGACAGAGATCGGGGCTTGTGGTGGGGGAAGGGGGATGATGCGTAAAGAGAATTGTCAGCTAACATGAGCTGCACAATGATCCTGTGCACCCGGTGACGGGAAGGTGCATGGATGTGCTGTCTGTAGTGGAACCCGAGATGACAGCTGGTTTCACGAGAAGGCTCTTGTGAGGAGCCCTTCACTCTGCACATCCCCTGGGGCCAGCTGTGCTGCTTCACTGCTTTTCTTCCTGGATTGATTGCGCCTGTGTTTGTTCACACACGCGCTCGGGGGAGGAGAGATGTATTGATGCCCCTGTTCCTCCGCTCGGGCAGCATATGCTTCTCTCAATCAAAGCACCTGCAACTCCCCTGCAGTGGACGAGAGGTCCCACTGGACACAGCCTCCTCTCTGCCCTCCCTACTCTGCCACCAAACTGTATGACATCACTGGGTTATTTCTGTCTGTCAGAGTCCCAGCAGGCCAGGAGCCAATGACGCCAGTGCAACAGAAGGCAGAGCTGCTGGAGGAAGAAAGGTCAGAGCCAGCGATCCTGTCTGCAGCAAGCTGCAGGTGACTACAGCACAGTCCTCAATGTAGGTTCCTGCATGTACAGTGCGCTCCCTCTGTTTCCAGTGCATCATCTCAGCTGGCACTGCAGGACCCCGTCGCAATGCAATTCTAAACCCTACACCTGAACTGGGCTACCATGCTCACTACTACAATATTTGCCTGCTCAGTCATGGCTTATCGGGTGAATGAGTCTTAATTTCTAAGTGGGGCTGGGAATTTGATCCGCCAGAAGGTTTTGGACTGAATCAAACCCTTACTCTTCTGGCTTGTTTGGCACTAATTTTTCTGGGCTGTGCACATGGGAGACGCGCACATGTACTATCCACGCATCCCTTGCATTCACATGTTGCCATGAACAATATGGAGACAGCTACATAAGACACCTGTCAAGATGCAAGAGGGATGGCTTTGATTTTGTTCCATCGTGGGATAGCAACCAAAATGGTACAAAGCTTCCCTCTGTTTCCAATGGGGTAACATCTCCTTGCAATATGTCTGTGCTTACAGTTAATTTGGCCACACACAAATTGTGCCCGAAGATATTTATGTAGCAGAATTCACTTCCCATTCTTTATAGTGGTCTGTCTGTCTATCTGTATTGCTGTTGCAGAAATATTCAATGTTCTCTATCTGGCCCTCTTCACCATAGTATCTGAGCTCTTCACACTTTAATGGATGTTGTCCCTGTGAAATAAAGAGGCTGTCGCAGGGTGACACTGGCTCTTTAAGAAGGAAGAGGCCAGCTCACCTGTGACTGAGAAGCCAACCCTCAACTGGGCTTAAAAGGATGCCTGGTTGGGACCTAGAGGGAAGGAGAGAGACCTGGAGAGTCCCCCAGCTGCCTGTGAGCAAAGAGCGAAAGAACAAGGAAAGGGGCAGGTGAAAGCCACCTGAGCGTGTCAGGAAAGGGGCTAGCCTGCTGACCTTCCTGAGCTGGAGAGCCAATGAGGGGAGGCTGAAAAGGGCTGAATCACTGGCTGGTGTTTGGGTCTAAGTCACAAGACTGGTGATTTTCATGTGGATGGTCTAGAGAGTGGGGCTCTGGAACAAGGGCAGAAAGGGACTGGGAGGGAACCAAGTGCTGGTGGGTGACCTGGAAGTGAGATCCCTAAGGGGAGAACGGAAAAAATCTCACTACCTTTGTATGTTTTACTGTGGGAAGTGGGAGAACAGTTTTACCATGGCGGTTCTATGGACTATTGTACCTCTACATCAATTATGCCCAAAGATGGGACTTTGTATCGGACAGTAGTAGACTGTGTTCCTTTTTATGGTTGGAGCATGGGGAAACTGAGGCAGATGCACCTGTTGTGCCATGACCTGACTTTGGAGGGTGCCCTGGGGAGGGGTTGCCTTGTCACAGAGGTAGTCTCCCCCCATGTATAGATGAGGAACCAAGGCACAGCACAGTACAGCTGTGTAAGGCCCTTGTCTTTTTGTTTTGATTTTGTGAAATATTTCCTGGGAATTTCTCAGTGTTTATTCTAAAACTTTAAATATGGGTGAAAATTGTTGTTGTTGTTTTTTTTAAAGGGCGGGGGGAGCCAAGTACTCACTGGGGGGCAGTGGGTGGGGAGCATGCCTGGTGCTCATGGGGTAGCAGGAGTGTGCTCCCTGTGGGTCTGTTGCTGCAGCAGTTGGGAGGTCTGGGCTGCTGGGAGCTGGCTCCTTGCCCATCTAGCTCCCCGACTTCACAGCAGCTGTGGGGACTCTGCAAGGGGGAAGCTGGGCCCTGGCTCACCCAAAATTCAGGTGAAAATTGGTAAATCCCCAATACTGATTTTCCTGCCTCCCCCCCGCCACCAAAACCTGGGCATTTTTCCAAGAAAAATGAGTAAATACCAAAAATGCAGAACCTCCCAGATGTGTGGCCTGGGCCAAGTCACTTCAAGTGGGTTGGAACCAGGACTTCAAGGCAGGTCTTTAGCAGACCATCCTTCTTCCCTGGTTGGAGCAGCTTCTCGTGTCACTTCTATTGGAAAGGAGTTTGACTGCCACCAAGATGCTAGGCTGCAACCAGCTTTCCATTATAAAAGCACTGCCCGTTCCTGGGTCGAGTCCGCCCTGTCCCCCAGCCATCCCCCTACTCCCCAGCTAGGTGTAGTTCCATGTTTCTACAGGCTCGTGCATAGGCTCTAATGCTATCCTTTCTCTAGATGTAAAGAGATGCTTTTTCCTTGCAAAGCTATTCAGCATTTCAGCTGTTTCCCCCCGCACACACACACACACAACTGTGAGGTTGGAACAATCAGCATATTTGGATGTCACCTCCCAGCGGGAGGCCAGAGAAGTGAGTGGCATTGTGGTCAGGATTTGAAGGGGGGAGGGGTTGAGTCTGGGCCAGGGCAACTCAAATTAAAAAGAAATAAAATCAAATAAAAAAAGCCACTTCATCTGATCTGTAATCAGTGCACTGTTGGGGAAAGCTCACCCTGCGGGGAAGGATGGATCACGTAGGAGTAACACAAGAGAACCATCCACGAAAGGGTTAACTCCACTCTGTTAGTCTGCTAGTATCATGAATAATAATGACAGATTTAAAGGGAATCTTTTGCATAAAAATGAGCTTTTTACTAACACTCCTGCACCTGAGCCTAAAACCTCCAATCCTCCCCTCCCCCCGCCCCTAGAGAGACACAAGGGAATGACGTAATGTCTCGGCTCAGCTGAAGCTGGGACTCAGGCCCAGGACCACCCTGCTCAGACTCCGCGTCAGGGAGAGGTGACAGGATTCCCAGAGGGCTGCAGGGGATGCCCAGTCACAAATGCCCAGTGGAGCTCCATAATCCCAGCCGGACATGCCCGCACATACACAAGCCTAGACCTTGGATCCCTCTTCCTGCGAGGGCAGGCTGGGCTCTCCCATATACCAGTGCAGCATCTCAAAGGAGTTGCTCTGGATTTACACCTGGGAGTGCCACTGGGCCCCCCCATTGCATTCTTTTGCACAACACACACTCATGCAGGCTTCTTTTGTATAGAAAGAACCTGGAGCACCACTTAAGACAGGCATGACCCACAGCCCGCAGTTCAGGGTTAGTTGCACATTCTGGGCCAGCGCTGAAATATCTAGTGCAGAGGGGCCTGGGAGTTAAGACTCCTGGGTTCCATTCTCATTTATCACATCAGGCAAATCATGCCATCTGTTTCCTCATCTGTAATGCAGATACAAGACCCATTTTGTCCAGTTAGAAATTACTCTGATGGGGTTCCCACCACTTCATATAAGAGTCTGAAGCATCTCACTATTACAAAGTTTCCTTTGTTTAATTTCCACCTTTTCCTCCTCCTCCTTATTATACTTACTGGCCCACATTCCCAGGTACAATGATGCAAGTGCACTGCAATCCAGGGTGTAACTGACAGCAAAGTTTGGCTCACTCCAGCGGTTAGAGGTTTGAAGCCCCTTGTCACCCCTTTTGATTATGGGATGCTAAATGCTAACACACCGAATAACTGTGATTGCCACATCCATTTATGGCCAGGGTCTCGCATTCCTACTCTGACAGAATTCCCATTGAAACCAATGGGGATTTGGAAAAATTGTGGTTCTATTTCCCCCCCACCCCCCCTCCCCCATGTCTCTGATCTGGATATATGGTATAAGGGCTGCCTTGCCCCAGCACCAGCAGAGTTCATTGAGGTGTTTGGTGGCTGAAGTTAGAGGTGAACCACTAGCCATGGTCCAGCTGGTAGGATATTAAAGGGTCACACACACACACATCTACAGGCAAATGCTTCAGACCTGCACTTGCATGACAGCTGGCCTTGGTTCATTAGAATGTTGCCCCCATGCCCAACACCTTCCTGTCTACTCCCCTTCCACTCCTTCTGTTGCCACAGGTCTACGTGCTCTCCAGACCTTCTCTGTAGGTTAGCTCCTTTATCCGTTCCTGCCCCAGTTCTTTTACATCCGTCACCAGCCACCCTCTCCTTTCTTAGTAAAGCACTAGAGCGCGTTGCTCCAGGTCAGCTCTCCAACCACCTTCCTGGTGGGCTATTCTCACTCTGGCCAGAGGCTGGAAGCCACATTACAGTGAGTATGGCTTCTCTTCCGCTGATGAAGCTTTCTCCCGCCTCGCTATCCTGGACCATAGCGAAGCCTTTGACACCATGGAGGACGACTCCTCCTGGGTCCCTTCCGTAGCTGTGTAACATATCAAGTGCTCTCTGGTCACGGATCTGGTCCTACCTATCAGACTCTTTCGCTGGTGGAGATGCCTTCTCTACGGAGTCCCAGAAGGTTCATTTCCTCCTCCTGTTCTCTACCACCTCAATCCTTTTTCGGTTTTTTAACCTGAAACATCTCTACCCTGACGATACTCGATGCTCCATCTCTTGACACCTTTAATGATTCCTCCCCATCCATCTTGACCAAGTAAACTTGTGGTTTCCTCCCAGCTTCCTTCAGCTAATTGTCTCAGGCAGACTATTCTCTCTTGGGCAATCAGACCTCCCATGTGCCTTCCACGTAGGCATCATCCTAAACCACAAGCTTTCCATCTGCAAATCTGCCTGTCATCACCTCCCAGGAATTCCCTCTGTGTACATTATGTCACCTCTGCTGAAGTCCCGAGCTAAGCTTTCATCTCCTCTTACAACCCCATTCTCTATGGCTTCCCCAGCTACCTCAAGTACACAGATGCATGATTACACCCTCCTATCCTCTGCTCTGCTGGCAGCATGTTCATTTGTCCTGGAACTGGAAAACTGCCCTTCTTGTTTTGAACTCCTCCCTCGGCTTGCCCTAGCTAATCCACAGACCTTCCCACTCCATGCTCAACAGGAACTTGCCTTTTTTCTGTCCCCAAGCCCACCACTGCATGCACTAGTCGCTTGTGGTGCAAGTGCCTTCTGCTCTGCAGCCACGGCCTTCTGGAACAGCTGCCTTCTCTCTTGCTCCATCCAGCCTTCCTCCTGATTTAAAGTCTCTCTTCTCCCTTTCCTCTGTCTCCGACATTTTATTTGAACTCTCCCGACTCAAACAACAGTTACCAAGTATTTTGGGGATCCTAGATACAGCCTCAGACCAGAAGGGGCCAACTCCAGACCTGTCACCAGCAGGTGAAACTCCATTGATTTCAGGGGATCTGGATTGCTCACAGCAGCTTCAAATTCATGTGTGCTCTGTGAAGCTGTACTGTACTGTACTGTGCTGCCCAGTGGCATACTGGGCCGAGATGGGGCTGACAACCTTGCTCCTGACATTCCCCAGAGTATCCCAGAATCCTTTGTACTAACTGCACTGGCACGGGCTCCAACCAGATCCCACACACCAGACCCTTTCTTCTCCCACCTGCTGGTGGCTCCTGGGAACCTGCAGCAGAGTGCTTGGAGTGAGCCCTGCACTCTTCTGGAGCCCTCGAGACATGGCACCCCATGTGTCTGCCTGTGCTCAGCTATGTCTCTACCACTGGACTGGAGCGGTGGATGTGAATTCCTCTGACGGCACTGGGGCCCAATCCTGTGAGGTTCAGAGCACTCAGAACTCCCACTGACTTGAGGGGGAGCAGCAGGTATCCTGCGGGCTCCCCGTTAGCTGGGGTTCTCCTGCCCTCAAGTCCTTAAACACACAGGCAAACCCATGCAACACGGCTGAACTTTATTAGCAATGAATGGTAGCCAGGGGATGCAGCCAAAGTCCAGCTCCCTCCCAGGGGGCCTAGGCCTGAGCAGATACCGTTGCCATGACAACCCCATCCTCTGACATGGAGCCGCCCGCATCTCTCCATGTGAGTGGCGGCAGCAGCTTGTTCATGGCGGCTCCCTCCCCTGCAGCAAAGGCTTCCAATAAAACACCTCCCAAACTAGCTTCTAGGGCAGAAGGGGATGCGGAGCGGAAGGATGTACACTGAGGTGCAGCCTGCAGGGCCCACCTGGCAGTACATGAGCCACACAGAGGGGGTGGAGCAGTGGGGGTCTGGGGTGGGACTCCCCACAGTGGGGGGATCCTATTGAAGTCACTAGTGCCTGAGAGTGGGAGGGCTCGGGGTGGGGGGTGTGGAATTGGTGATTATGTCATTTCCATCCCCTCTGTTCTCTGCTGATGCAGCCACTCTCAGAGCGGCCCGAAGTGGGGGGAAAACAGCTCTCCCGGCTGTTTCATTCCCGCTTTAGTTTTCCCCCCTTTCCCAGCGGTACCTTGGAGAATAACAGGGAGTTGTATTGAGAATTGGGGGCAATCCAGAGCAATTGGGGGGGGTATGGGAGTGACCCCAGCTCAGCATGCACAGAGGAAGAAGAGGAAGCGCTGCTGAGGGTCAGAAAGTGCCAGCAAGAGCTTTTTCAAAGCTGTTTGCTGCCTAGAATTAGTCATTGCATCATTTAGCTGGGAGAATGGCCCTTCCCTCTCCCCATTAGCTTGCTCCAGAGATCTCTCTCCAACCCCCTCAGGCACACACCTCATTCTCGCCAGAGAGACTCCGGGAGGCTCTTTAACCTTTGCCACTAACCTAAATAGACAGACAGTCAATGGACTGCGTGGGCACGTGCAGCAGAGCCCCCAGGATCCCATCACAACTCCATCCACGCAATGAAAGCTTCCCCCCTGCCCTTCCTCCTGGAAATACAGCAGGACCCACACCACAGTACGTTAGGTTTGTAGAGTCAGCTCACCCCATATAGAGTGGGAGCACGCTATCTCACCTCTCGGTGCATCAGTTCCCCCTGCAGGCGATAGCCATCTCCCCCTCAACCCCCTCATGCACCTCATCCCCGATGTACCCTTACACATGGCAGAAGACAAGCCACAGGGATGCAGCGCCTGGTGTGATGGGGCACCAACTTGGGTGGCAGCAAGATGCTACCACAATATCAGTTTTCAATAGCAATCATCCAGAAATCGTCTTTTTTTTTAAAGCAAGGAATAAGTGAGAGGAGTGCGTTTGGTCTATTTCAGTCTGTTTGATAAGAAACTGGCATTAGTCAGCCTGAGGACCTCCAATGTTACGCCCGCAATAAATAGATTAGTCTTGGATTTGTTTCCCCCTCCCCCCCGGATTAGTGACTGTTCCAGCCAATATCGTACATGTGGGCTTTCCCCAAATCCTCACCATCCACATATGCAAATATGCAGGATAACAAAACCAAACAAGCCCAGCCAAGCAGCACCCACTGTCCCTGAGACTGGATTTGGCCAGAGGCCAGGACAGCATTAGTGCTGTTGGCCAAGTGCTAAACTAGCAGAAAAAAGGGATAGTGTTGAATGAGCAGGAGACTCTTGCCTTAGGGGTGGGGAGGGGGGAGAGCAGAGAGCACCCTGAGCTGCCCTGCTGATTGGATGGAGAGATCCCACCATTGCAGGGGCTCTGCCATGCTTTCCAGCCCTGTGCTGTGCACTGTTTATTCCCTAGCTGTCCCTGGATGGCCTTGTCTACACTAGAGTGTGCTGCATTAGCCTCCACTTGGTCCCCTTTGCACGCCTGTGACGCGCTGTACATCCATGTGCAGACGTGCTAGCAGTGCACCATCTGCATTAGACATGCTTGGAATCAGCCCGCATGGTCCTTCAGTGTGCAGTGCCAGCATGGATGGGGATTGCTGGTGTGAGAGCATCGTTGGTGCATGCAGCCCTCCTTCTCCCACTGTCGCTGCTTAAATTGCCTGTCTGGTCTGCCTTCTGCACAGGGTCATGTGTGCCAGACGCCATGTGCACAACCAGCCCTGTGCACACCATGGAGTTATGCACCATTATCCCAGCAATCAGCTTGATTCTGCCTCAGTCACTAGCGCGTCTCAGAGGAGGCCTTCCCATGAGCGTGCTGCCAGCTGGCCAGGAGCCGACAAGCAGGCGCTGGCAAGATGAGGAGATCCAAGGCCAGCTGAATGCTGTCATAGGAACACTCTGGTGTGTAACCGGGCATTCTGGTTGACTAGCTGAGAAGGGCAGCACCCAGAGCAGTTAGCAATGCCAAGAGATCAAGAGACTTACGGTCCCGCACAAGGACCAGGACAATAACAGTACATCTGGTGCAGGGTAAAGAACATGCGTGTTCCAGAAGTACCTGGACCAAGTGCTTGGCACTTGCCCTTCCATGCAGCCCAGTATGCTACTAGAGAGCAGGGAGGCAACTCACAGCACAGTGGGGAGGAAGGAGGAGGTGAAACGGTCACGCCAGAACTAGACAATAGTAGGAGCTGCCACAGACATTACCAGGATCTGCTCGGGGAGTCCAACACAGCAGCCATGCTGGCTCAGCAGGAGGAAGAGAACCTTCTGCCCAAGCTCTATGGGGGCTGAGACGGTCTTCCAGGTTCCTGGGAATGCTGCCATTACTGCTTGGAAGAAGGCAGGGGGAGTCCTCCTCTCCCTGCTTCCCTCCCCCGTCCCTGCGCAGCACAGCACCGGCTGCCGAATGCCATCAGCCAGATGAGCGGGTTAGTTCCCCAGGGTTGGCATCCCCGCAGTAGTAGGCCAGCTTCCAGCCGGGGTGAGAATGCCCAGTTCGGCGACTGGCTGAGCCATGCTATTCGGCTGGACTAGAAGGGGCAGAGAGAGGCTGAGAATCAGAGAATTTTATTGAAAGGAATTACAGGGGGGCCCTGTAGCCAAGACACTTACACTCCATTTTCTCTTTCTGCCCTAGGCCAGACATGGCAATAAGAGACACGTTTCTCTTACCCACCTGCAGTCCCATTTCATTCTTTCTAGCTAATGCACGAAAGACAATCCTGGGCATATTTTCTATGTACAACTAGTACAGGCCATGAGAGTTAGCTTACGCCACATGTCCTCCTGCTGTCAGGCACAAGATACCTTTTTATCAGTCTAGCCGAGAGAATTAATCTTAGCCCTTATTTCCCCCTCGCCCCCAGATCCTCGGCAGTTGTGTCTGAAAATGCAAATCAGTTGCAGGAGTAATGCATGTTTCCATCAAACCCCACAGAACTTCTTTTAGCCTCTCCATCCAGGGAGTGGTTCCTTTGATACAATCCATGTGAGTAACTCTAATTTCCTCATGAACTCAAGAATTGCCTGACAGTCCCTTGCTGGAACCCTCTGCACAGGGATGCTGTCAACTCCACTTCTTTTTCTTTGTAGCACCTGTTACAGATGTGGGGCCGGAGGACACGATCCATGGTGGAACGGCTAAGAAGCCCAAGGACCAGGAAAAGCAAGGAAAACCAATACTTGGGACACGTAGAGGGACGTGAGAAGGGTCTTGGAGTGAATGATGGAAGGAGGTAAAAATGATGCCCGCTTTTAAGAGACTGGACAGGTTCAGGCAGAAGTGGAATGATTGGGGAAGGAGACCTGAGACCAGGCAATTCTAATGAGAGTTTTTCCAAGGACTCAGGCATCACATTGAACCTAATAACTGGCCCCTGCACCTGCCAGATACAGGTTAATAGTGCTCTTTGGAGCACCTCCTACTCTCCAGCTCCTTCATAGCCCTCACTCCAGGTATTGCACCCCTCTGCCACAGTCACCTAAGAGGACTAGAATCCCCAGTTAGATGGACAAGATGCACCTGTAAAATATTCAGTTACCATTGTTCATGTAACTACGTTACCCTGGTTTGCCATTGCAGCTGGCCTGAATTTTTGTTTGTGTATAATAAAGTAGAATCTGGGGGAAAGCCTGTGTAATGAGCACAATCAATCATACTGGTCTTTAATACCAAAACCAACAACACTTCACTCCTCCATTCCATCTAGGAACGAAGCCACACATCCCGAAAGAGCGCCCACTGGTACGGAACGCACCAGCCCGTCTGTTTAGCAACATAGGTCACTGAACACATCACTCAAGTAGACCACTCTCTGCACTGGCTCCCCACTGAGGTCAGACTCCAGTTCAAGGTCTCTGTCCTGATATTCAAAGCCCTCTTTTGGGATTGCTCCTGGCTACATGACCTCTCACGGCAGCTGTGTTCTGTTGGAACAATGAAACATGAGCGTGGGATGGGGGGTGGGGGGGACTCTGAAATGTTAGGGGGCTGTACTATGGAATAGCAGTTAGTGCAACTGCAGATAGTTGTATGGATGTCGGGCAAAGCTGAAGGCAAGTCAGCATGGCTATGATGGACATGTTGCAGTGTTGGTACTTAGATGGGCGCTATGCTACTGGTTCAGTCTCTAGTGTAGACACAGCCAGGGCATGAGTATGCACATCCATCTATCTAGATATTCGTTATCTCACTCCAAGACTGCAGCTGCATCCCTTTGCTGAGCTGCCATTGGCCAGAAATGATGTCATTGCTTCCAGTGCTGGGTGGCGGTGCATTGCTATTGGTGGAGGGGCAGAGATGCTGTTGTCAGCTGGAAAGGCTCCAGTCATTCATGTGGAGTTCAGTGCGTGTTCCCTCTGGGGGCTTGGACAGATAGATGGAAATAAAGATCCGGCAGAGCCAGGTGAGCACTTGGGGCTCTTAACCCTGCATTGCTGGGACGTAATGCCACATCCCCTGCAGGGTCCCAGCAAGAGAGACTGTAGCTGGTTTAACTCTTGCAGTGCTGGGTCAGAGTGCCTAAAGCCGCTTTCTTTAACCCATGCACTGAGGAGCCAGAGCTGTACGTCCTGTGGATGTTCCCTCAGCAAGGGTCTGCAACAATCAAGAGAGAAGCTGTCCCCAGAAAATCCTGCCCAGGTTTAGGGTTGAGATCAGTGCTTGCATTGACAGGGCTTTTGGGCTTTAGACTGCTCTGCCTACACTCAGGCAGTGCAGACAGGCTCACTAAAACTCAGGACTATACCTCACAGGTCTGGAGAGTCCTCCTGATTTAAGGAGCTCCAAGTTACCTGGGACATAAGCAGTGGACTTGTGATATGGTGCCTACCCCACACAGCTGATGAAAGGACTAAAGAGGACCGGAGAGTCCACACAATTAACCCACCTGGTTGCACCTGGAGGGTTGGCCAGGCCTAATTAATGATGAAACCCAGTGGGGAGGGACTGTGTGATGCTATAAATAGAGGAAGTGTAGCACATAAAGGGAGAGGGGTACAGGGAGAAACTCTGCAACCACTCTTTTGGTAGCAGGGAGAGACCAGACCAGTAAGATCAGGCTTCTGGAGGATGAGGACAAAGGCTTGGTAGGAATACCTCCAGGGAGGTAGTAGTAGGGAGTCTGGTGGAATGACCTTTCACTGCCTGTCCTAGGGTACCTGGACTGGAGCCTAGTGTGGAGGGTGGGCCTGCATTCCCCTGCCAGCCCCTGGTAAGGTGTACAAAGCCCAAGAAAAGTGTGTACAATCTACTGGGCTCAGACTCAAGAGTGGCAGACCAGGCAGAGGGATTGGACATTTGTTTGTTACCCTATTACCCTAGAAGGGGTGAGACATCATGTGACTCAGCTGGGGGGCTGAATCCTGAGAAGAAGTAGACCACCTCAGGGCCAGACTGGCTGTTAGTAGAGGCCGCTACAGGAGAAGATGCTGCTACACTATGCCTAGCCTGGAGGGAGCATGCCAGTGGTAAGTCATCCCTTCTACCGTGCTCTTGGGTTTGTCTTTTTTTAACCCCTCCTGTACTAGATTACTCTCCTCTGAATTTCCAGTCAAATACAGCTGGACTCTTACAATGCTGTGTTCCACTCCTGTCATTTGCCAGACACCTAGTGTATCCTTGGTGCGATGGGAAACAGATACTGAAGGGACCTGCTTCTCCACTGCTTGCTACCGCCCCAGCACCAACACAGGTAGCATTTCACACCTGCTCTGCACAAGTGTAAGTGGTGACCCCAGCTGTAAGGTGGTAAGAACCCAAGCATGCTTTAGCTGAAGTCCGGCCCAGCCAATGCAGTAGCGTAGGCCAAGCAGCTGAACTTCAAACCATAGAGACTTTTTGGTGCAAGTCTCTAGCTGACGCTGGGTGGGTTCTCACCACAAGGCTTTCGGGAAGAAGTGTGTTTGGTAAGAAGGGATTTAAATGCACCCTTGCACGTAGTGAGCTGCAGGGGAGAGGGTGCCCCCCAGGGCCAATGGTGGTAGTGGAGCACGGGTAACACCTGGTAGAAGCATCATACGTGTCGGATTCAGGTGTCTTAGGTTTTGCATTGTATCTGCTCACCAGCCAACCTCAACACCGCACATTGACGACACTGCTGTAACTACATGTCAGCTTTGCTCTTCCTACGTCTCTGACAGCCCAGCATGTTGCGTGGTCAGACGCGGTGGGGTGGGCAAGTGACAGAAAGGAGGTGACAAAGGCAGGGGGGCAAAGAGGCTTTTCTTATGAGGCTCAGACTCTATGTTGCTTTTTTGGGCTGTGTGGAAAAATATTCACTGCAAAAGCCTAGAAACTGGGGGTTCTGTGCTCAGATTAGATTGTATTCAGCTACTCCTGTTTGGTGAAGGGGGGAGGGGAGAGAGAACGGCTGCAGGGAAAGGTTGCTTGAAAACAGGACCAAGTGTGGAGTATTCCTCTGTAGTGTTTGTAGTCCAGCTGAGGGCAGGGCCCTGTTGTGCTAGGTGCTGTACATGCCCCTAGTGGGAGACTGCCCCTGCTCCAGAGAGTTCACAGTCCAGCCTAACTAGACAAGGCAAAGGGGGGGGGGGAGAAAGGAGGGATGATTATTCCAATCTTACAGCTGTTGTCAACCCACAATGAAAAACTGCAATACTGCCAAAAAACTGGCCCCATGCTCTTGGCAAAGGGGTTTTGGTTTTTGAGTCCCAACCAGACTGATTCAGTTTTCATGGAATTGTGTTTAAAAAGCTCCTGTTAGACAAAAGGGAACATCTTCCTCTTCTCCCCCCGCCCCCCCCAGTCTCCCTCCAGGCTCTCTCAGGGCTCTGGAGCCCCCCAATGCCAGCCCTGCTGCCAGCGCAGGTACCCAGCAAGTGGCACACACATGCATTAGGACCTGGCTACTTTCCCTGCTGCATCCCTATGGCAGGCAGCTGCTGCTGAGCCGGCAAAGCAGATTGTGTCTGAAAGCACGGGGAATCCTCCCCGCTCCCCCAGCTGGGGTGGGGGCAGCACACACAAGGCGGCAACTGCAGCAGGAGAGGGGGCTGGATTTAGCTCCCAGTCCTTGACCTGACTTCGTTGTGCCAGGTGAGCCTTTGCAGCCCTGTCTCGATTGCTCGGCAGGGCTCTGCAGAGCAAGTGGCTGCAACAGCGTTAGCACTAGCCTGACTCAGTCGCTCTCCAGAGCTGAGTGTGGCCAACAAGTGCTGAAGCCGGGGGCAGATCTGCATTACCAGGGGGGAACAGACCTAGCTGGCCCCCTGCTGCTGACACACAGCCTGGGGAGGAGGGGGGAAGAGTTGACTATCAAGCCCCAAGAGCTATGTTCCCCAAAGCAGCAGCCTAGCAAGGTTCAGCCAGACAGTGGGGGGTGACTGACCCACTTTCCCTCACCTTGCAGCGGACAGCAGCTCAGTGCCCCTCCCCATATCCCTGCTTGCACTTGCATCTTCTTCCTGTGCTGCCAAGTCCAGCCCAGGGGGCTGCCTCTGCCCCCCTGGCACTGAGACATGGGGTGCTCCCTGCTCCATGGCACCCCAGAGACCAGCCAGGCAGAGGGGTGATTCACCCCCCCCAAACCCTGAGTCACTGTTTCCCTCCACACCTGTGCTACCTCTCCTGCTCAATGAGTCAGAGCTGGGGATGGGGACCCCCCCCTCACCCAGCTCAGCACCTGCCCCACAGGGATGTCTAGCTCCAACCCCCCACCCCAGGAGCAGTCCCCAGTCTGGAGTGGCTAGTGGAATTGACCTCTGCCCCCCCGCATGTCAGGGTCTGCATGAGGGGGTGCCCAGCTCCATCACTGACCTCAAGAGTGAGTGCCCAGCCCCATGCCCCCCACTAGCCAGCCAGTGTCCTGCACTGTCATGCCCAGCCCTGTGCCCCCCAGCAGCCAGCCGGTGTCCTATGCTGCCAGGTGCCCTGCGCCGTGCCCAGCCCTGTGCCCCCCAGCAGCCAGCCGGTGTCCTACGCTGCCAGGTGCCCCACACTGTGCCCAGCCCCGTGCCCCCCAGCAGCCAGCCGGTGTCCTACGCTGCCAGGTGCCCCACACTGTGCCCAGCCCCGTGCCCCCCAGCAGCCAGCCGGTGTCCTACG